GTAGTTGTTTGTCCACAAGTGCAGTGAAATTCTATATTATCTTTGTTTAAAGCGAAATAATTGAAAATAGTTTTAGTATATTATTAACAAATACGCAAAAGCAGGTGGCGAGTTCGTCCTATTAATGTGGATCGTGCTCTACATGGTTATTACCGGAAAACGTTTTAGCCATAAAAGATAACGAACAAATTTTTCGTCATACGCAGATGTCTAAAGAAATATATACTTTGTTATTGAAGTTAATAGCTCCTTCTGCGACAAAATTTGGACAGCAAATAAACGGTGATGAACGTTTATCACTTACTCTTTTGTAAGTTACATATACTGTTTTATTAGTAATTTTAGTAAAAATAACACGAACATTTTTTTAAAGGTATTTGGCACATGGCGTCCCTTTACAGAGTTTAGCATGAAGCTATAAATTGGGAAGAACAACAGTTAGAAACACCATGTAGGAAATGTGTGATATCATTTGGCAACCACTATCACCAATATATTTAAGTGAACCTATAGAATAGCAATATCGGCATATTGCATATTTTATTTAAAATTGAAGACAAATTGTTAATGATATTATCTTTCATATGTTTAAATTGAAAATAAAGAAAACACTATTTTCATTTATATATGGAAAACATTTTTATTTTCTATAATTTTAATTTTATTGTAAATAAAAGAATCAACAAAAGAATCAACTGTAAACTTCAAAAGCTCCAACCGGTAGTTGCTTGTCCTCAAGTGCAGTGAATTTCTATATTTCTATATAGATTTTTTGTACGAATGTACTTTTAAAGTAAAACAAATAAAAACATTTTTAGTGAAATATTTTTGTATATGACTAATGTCCATTATATTGCTTATCTCAATAATTTTGTAATATATATTTTAAAATTGCATTTTTAATATTATTTATTATTAGGCCTTTTCTTTTGTAAGCATGTTACAAAATAACAAATAAAATAAGCACTACTTCCGATGGCAACTCTAGAAAAACTGGAAATTTTGTTTGTATTTGCAAAACACATAATAAAATTTAAAGCGAAAATCAACAAAATGAATAATTCTTTGCAATTATTGGTAAGAAAATTTCATTTTTTAAATGATTGTGAATAAAATTTGTTTTTTTCAGGCTTTTTCTATGTTAACAGAAAAAAGTGGTAAACTAAAAAGAATTAAGTATGAAAATAGAGTGAAAGAAGTTCTTGACATATTTGAAAGTGCAAGTTCGTCTGAATCGGATTCAGAACTGGAGCAACATGAAAAATGTTCCAGTTTTGAATCTACTATTGAAGCTATGAGTGCTCAGGACTTTAAACAGCATTTCCGACTACAACGACAAACGATAGAAGTCATTATAAGTACGAAGGTTGTAAACTAAAGTGTCTTAAATAATTATACCATATTTATTTCAGCACTGTTTTCACAATCTGAGTACTTTCCAAATCAATTTAGTGGTGGAAGACAACGCGTGGGATGCAGAAATCAATACATGTACATCTGGTATGTAAGTAATACAGTTACATACAGACAGCTGGCAAATCTTTTTGGTGTTGCAATATCAGTGGCTAAGGGTACAGTCCGGCATGTAACATAACAGGCTTCTTGATATCAATAAGCCATGAATATATTATGTGGCCAAGACGATTAATTGCAGCCGAAGTTATGAAGAAGTTCAAAGAAAAGCATGGAATACCAGGCATAATAGGAGCAATAGATTACACGCATATTCCAATCAAAAGACCAACATGTCATGGTGAAGATTTTTTCAATCGCAAACAATACTATTCCATTATTTTGCAGTCTGTTGAAGATACAGACAAAAAAATTTTAAACATTAGTTGTGGTGAACTTGAGTGAGAGTCGTCTAGTATTGCCACTTCTTCGAAGCCCATATCCAAAGCATTGATATTTCTAATTTTTGGAGAATTTCCGAAAATTTCGTCCATTAGCTCCATATGAGGTTCGTTTCGTTTATTGTTGTCTATTGCCATTTTATATGCTTTCATTAAAGTCCGCATTTTTCCTTCTAGACACTGCGCCGTCCTTTCTTTATCCTGAAATAAAAGAAAAAGTAGATAATAATACATTTCGAATGGTTATACAATCATTCGTTAAACTTACAGTAATGTTTTTTGCGACTATGTCTTCTAATACATTAAAATAAGCCGCCCTCTTTTTCTTTGTGTGTTCGAATTCGTGGTCCCTTGCTAAATAGCAATGCAGAAACCCAATTGTTTCTGCATTGCTCCACCGTTTTCGTGATGTTACAATATGACCATAAATATGTATATAATTGGAAAAATAGAGTTCCTTAATGTTTTTATTTCTAAGTTCTACATTTACTTAAGTTTCACTCATTTTTAAACAGCAAAATATATTTATTACAAAACGTTATATTAAATAACTGTAGTTGGCAGTTGAAAATTAAAAAGAATTGTACATTATTATTTTTCAAACACAGTTAACAGCTGGCCGTGAACTGGAAATTTCATATGTACTTCCAAAAATCGTTCATAATAGACGAGTTTTTAGTCTTGGCAACCCTGCAATTTGAGCTGCTTATTAGTTAAGCGATTTCAAAAAGATTGGACTAAATAAGCCAGCAGTATTGTTGTTTCATATGTTATTTTTAAAATAAGCGGTTGTTCTTTTGTGATATGCTTACAAAAGAAAACGCCTATTACTAAATAAGTATTACTCTTCAATATTTATTATAAATTAAATACTTTCTACTGATTATTGATCAATATGTAAGATATTGATTATTGATATTATAAAATAAAAAATGTTAACTATTATAAAATACAATTACCTATTGTAAAAATATTGTTACGAATTTGATCAGATTAGCAATGGAACGTTTAAATATTATTTAATTATTATGTCAATTGATATTTTTACAGTTAGTTGGAATAAGTTTGAGTGAAGTTGCGTTTCCTAAATTTGCTCCTAGTAAAATACTAGTTCTTTTTAATACTACAAACATCATAAAGTGTAGTTTCTCTAATTAAGAAGTTTTGTTTCATTTTTACAAAATCCTGTGATTCGAACGTACACGCATACAGGCGATTACGTAACATTTGGTGTCAGAAGTGGGATTTTCTAAAATGGTGAAATTGGAAGAGTTGACTGTGGTTCAACTGAAAAAGCAGAACTGCAGTTGAGACTTCGTGAGGCGATGGAGGCTAATGGCATAAATGTAGAAGAACACGAGTTTCTCGATGAAGAATCTGACAAGAATAGTGAAATGATGGCAATCATGAACTTAATGATACAGAAGCTTGAGAAAAATTCAGAGGAACAGACGCACAGTTCACGCAAGTTAGAAGAAAAGCTTGCACAAAATTCAGAGGAACAGGCGCATGGTTTACGTAAGTTGGAACAACAATTTAGTGAAATCACGCAGACATTAGGACAAAATTTTGTCGAATTAAAGATGGAGTTACAACAAGTCCAAAAAAGGCGCTTGAGAAGAAAAGACCCGATTAATCAGAATGTCCAGGTCTCAAAAGATGAGATGGTTCAATTGGAACGCCACGCTGAGAGTAGGCAGGTAAGCGGGTCATCTTCATCCATTCGTGAAACTGGTAGCGTTAAACTACAGCCACATATGTTTGATGGGAGCGAGACTTTAGAAGTGTTCAAACTACAATTTGAAATAGCGGCTGCAACAAATAATTGGAATATTGGTGAGAAAACGGAATCACTAATTGTGGCACTAAAAGGTAATGCGGCAGAAGTTTTACAGCAAATTCCACCCGAACAACATAAAAGCTATCAAGCTGTAATGGATACATTGGAACACAAGTACGGTAACCTTTTTATGGCTCCATTACACAGGGTAGTACTGGAAGCAAGAGATCCGCCTGTTGACGAGAGTCCTGGAGAGTACTCTGCCGACATTGAACGGTTGTGTTACTTGGAAACTAAGCGTCTGGTCATAATATTCTCGAAGGAGACATACTCTGAAACGATTAGCGACGCTTTGACATTCGAAGCTGCCGGTATAATGTGTTCCTTTACAGCAAAAGTACGGAAAATGGAAACTGGAGTGAAGGTAGGAGTGCAGTTGATACAGTTTTCAGGATTAATCAGGAAATCATATATGATGCGGAGATCGCAGAAATCGATGCGGAGATCATTATTTGTAAGTACTTTACTGGATCTGTAAATTTTATTGT